CCACTTGATTATGATAAATGATTACTTAATGTGCTGTTAAATTTGATTTGCTTGTGTTTTGTTAAAAATTTTTGCATTTAGCAAGTTAAAATCACACTGAGATACCACCTAACTCCAGTCAGGATGGCCATCCTCAATAACTCAAAAAACGACAGATGCTGGAGAGTATGCAGAGAAAAGGAACACTTCTACATTGTTGGTGGGAATGCACAACCTCTGTGGAAAACAGTGTGGTGATTTCTAAAAGATCTAAAACTCAAACTTTCATATGACCTAGCAATCCCCTTTCTGGGAATATATCCAGAGGAACTTAAATCTCTCTATGAAAAACATACCTGTACACACATGTTTATTGCAGCATTTCACAATAGCAAAAACATAGAACCAGCCATGTTGCCCATTGACAGAGAACTAGATAAAGGAAATATGATACATATTCACAAATAGAATATTATACAGGCATAAAGAAAAACAAAATTATGAATTTCTCAGCAACTTGAATGGATTTAGAGTCTAATACTCAGTGATCTATTACAGAACCAAAGATCTGAATAGTACATGTACTTACTCATAAGTAGACCATGAACATTTTTCATAATACTATAAGAAAGGGATTGGCAGTAGTGGGACACTGCTGGAGGAGGGAGGAGGGGCACATAACATCAATAAGGGTACCCATACTTTACCTGTACTATGACCACTTATGTACCTAACCCTGAATTGTACCCCACATCTTAAATAAATAAAAATAATAGTTAAATTTTAAAATTTGCATTTAGATTCATCAAGGATATTGGATTCTTTTCTTGTAATAACCTTGTATAGCTTTGATATCAGAGTAAAACTTTGCAAAATGAGTTGGAAAGTATTCCCTCTTCTTCATTTTTTTGAGAAGAGATTGAGAAGGATTGGAATTAGTTCTCTAAATGTTTGATAGAATTTGGCTTTGAAGTCATCCAGTTCTGGCACATTTAAAAAATAAATTTAAATTCAAAATTGCATAGATTTAATTTAATAGATTTTTGATAAATTTAAATTTTAAATGTAAATCTGTTACTTATTTAATCTTCTTACTCATTATTGGTCAGTTCAGGTGTTTTATTTCTTCATGATTCAGTTTTGGTAGGTTGTATGTGTCTTAGACATTTATTCATCTAAATTGTTCAATTTTTTGTGTGTAATAGTTCATAATAGATTTTTATGTTTCTTTGTATTTCTTTGGTATCAGTTATAATGTCTCCATTTTATTTTCTGATTTGTACTTATTTGAGTTGCCTCTCTTCTTTTCCTAGTTAGTCCAAATAAAAGTTTGCCTATTTTGTTTAACATTTCAAAGAACCAATTCTTAGTTTTGCAGATGTGTTTCTATTTTACTTATTTCTGCTCTGATCTTTGTTATTTCTTTCCTTCTGCTAACTTTGGGCTTGATTTACTCTTTCTTATTCTAGTTCCTGGAGGTGTCACATTAGATTGTTTATTTGAGCTTTTTCTTCTTTTTAATATAGGCATTCATTGCTATAATTTTCCCTCTTAGGACTAATTTTGCTCCATCTCATAAGTTTTGATATGGTGTGCTTCCAGTTTTGTTTATCTCAATGTATTTTTTTCTGTTTTACTTCTGTGACCTATTGGTTGTTTAAAACTATGTTGTTTAAGTTCTACATATTTGTGAATTTTACAAGAATTCTCCAGTTATTTATTTTTAGTTTTATGTCATTGATTGACTGACACGACTTCAATCTTTTAATATTTGTTAAGACTTGCTTTGTGGCCTAACATATAATCTATTTTGGAGAATGTTCTATGTGTGCTTGAGAAGAAAGTGTATTCTATTGCTGTTGAATAGAATATTTTATCTATGTTTGTTAGGTTTATTTGCTCTAAGGTGTAATTCAATTTCACTGTTTCCTTATTGATTTTCTTTGCCTAGATTATCTGTCTATTGCTGAAAGTGGAGTATTGCTTTGAGGTAACCTACTGTTAATGTACTATAGTCTATCTCTCCCTTCAGATTGTTTAACAATTCTTTTATATTTAGGTGCTCTGATGTTGGTTGCATATATATTTACAATTGTTTTGTCCTTTTGATGACTTGACCCTTTTATCAGTGTAGAGTGAACTTCTTTGTCTTCTTTATAACTTTTGACTCAAAATATATTTTTGTCTGCTATAAGTCTAGATATCACTACTCTCTTTTTGTTTTCATTTTTGTGGAATATATTTTTTCCATACCTTCACTTTTAGTCTATGTGTCCCTTATAGTAAGGTGAGTCTCTTGTAGGCAGCATATGACTGGAGTTTTAAAAAATCGATTCAGTTACTCTAGGTCTTTATATTAGTCCATTTAATCCATTTACATTCAAGATAATTATGGATAGGTATGAACTTACTACTGCCATGTTTTGTTACTCATTTTCTGGTAGTTTGGTAGGTCTTTTGTTTCTTTCTTCTGTCTTCCTTTGTGGTTTGATGGTTTTCTTTGGTGGTCTGCTTTGAATTATATTGTTTCCATTCCTTTGTTGAGCTTCTCATTTTGCTTATAAATTGCATTGTTTTCCAATTATTTAATTTTTATCTTTATTTTCTTGTAGTTCACTGGGCTTTTGGTGGCTCAGCCTGTAATCCCGCGCCTTTGGGAGGCTGAGGTGAGTGGATTGCCTGAGCCCGCGGGTTCGAGACCCACCTCGGCAGCGAGACCTCATCTCTACAATAAAATCAAAAAAATCAGCTGGGTGTGGTAGCGCATGCCTGTAATTCCGGTTACTTGGAAGGCTGAGACGGAAGGATCGCCGGAGCCCAGCAGTTCGAGTCTGCGGTGGCCGGGAGCGGCCACTGCACTCCAGCCTGGGCGACAGAGTGAGACTCCAACTCAAAAACAACAACAACAACAACAAACCAGAATTATTCTGAATTACTTGCCAGTCATTTCAAAGCTCTTCATTTCTTCAGAGTTCATTATTACAACTTTATTAGTTTATTTATCATGGTGATTTATTTACCTGATTTTTCATAATCTGTATGCTTTTTTGTTCGTGGCTGAGCATTTGAGGAAATGGCCACTCTTTCTGCCTTTGCTGCTATTCTTTGGTGATGGTAGACCTTCATTATTTTTCTAGCCTGCAATTTTGATTAAGCTAGTTAGTGGTGGTCCTGGACAAGTAGATCTTGTTGTCATGTTTTCTACTTGAACTGGGCTGTTAACTGTGCTCTAGGGTTGAGTAGAATTTTCACTGTGTTACATAGTCTGGTGAAACCAATGGCTGGACACTTCAGTGAGGTAGAGAGGCTGAGTGGTCTCTGCAATAGCTCCCAAACAAACAGCATTATTGGTTGCCTTCCTTGGCTGGCCAGTACTACAGTTTGGAATCTGCAGAAGAGCTGGGCCATGTTTTAAGCTCAGAGATTGAACAAAATGCTACTCAACCACTCAGGGTGGCAGGAACAGAGGCAATGCTCTGACGATATACATAGACATTGGTTTGCCTCCAATCTTAGGATAGTCTTAAGCAGAGCACCAAGGCTTGGTATATTAGCCACTTGGCTTCTGGGTGAGAATAGATGCTCCCTCTATAGTTAATTGCCACCTTGCCCTTGTTTACTGGCCTGAGGAAGAGTTAGGGAGCACACCAGGGTTTGACTGGAGTCAGATGCTCTCTTTGCAGATAATTGTCAACCTGATCTTATCTCCTGGCCTGGGAAAGTTTCAAGGAGAGCGCTAGGGCTGCATGTAGAAACCAACTTGGGATTCAAGGCTGCAAGACCCACTGACCATGCTTCCTGCAGTGTTGCAAGCCCCTCTAGTGTTGTGCCTTTAGAATGCAGAGCCACTGTCAGTATCCTTGTGCTGATGACTCTGAGCCCTGCCTCTGTTCTTTGTTTCTAACAAAGACAACAGAGTGCTTCCTGTTTATGGTCCCAGAATGGAGGAGAAGCTAAATATTCACCTTCAGTTCTCTATCCCTCATCTCACACATCATATTCCCACAGTCCAATGATTTTGTCCAACTGACATCCCAGAGAACACCTGAAAGCTCCCCCAACTTCTGGGATCGCCACTGTAGTGGAAGATTGATTTTAAAAGGTTAGGGTTTTAGGCTTGAGGTCTTTGTAAACACTTCTTTGGTAGTGCTTATCTCATAATATCAAATCTATTTACTTTTCTGAATCTGCTTATGTTGAAGGATACTCAAGGGAAGTTATATCCTATACATCTCCGTACCACTACTGTTGAATGAAGTAATAGGGACAGAGCCTTTGAATGAATGAGCAGAGGCAGGGCAGCAATTCCAGGGCAGACAAGAGTGGGAAGTACATTGGCAGTCACAAGGACATCCTGGTTCCATCTTATTAAACCTTTAGGCATGTGCCCAGGAAGACACGAGGAACAGGTAACTGGGAAACGATTGGTATTGTCACCTCCCTGGTTGTGAAAACAGCAGCATACTCAGATTGTGCATCATAAACCTCGCACAGGATAAAAGGACTTCTGCCTTGAGCTCCCCATCTATAGCGTGGTCAGGAACAGCCTTCTCCTGCTTCCCCAACATCTGGTGAGTGTCCAGCAGGGAACAGATTCTCAGCTTGGGGGAGTGCTTGTGGAAGACAAACTCAGAATCGAAATGGAACCAGAAAAAGGCCCACAATGAGCAGCAGCGTGGTGGTGGTGGTGGTGGGAGGTGATGGTGAGGAAGGAGCTTCTGTGGCACATGCCAGGGAGCTCTGAGCTGCAAAAGCTATAGGGACTCAGGATTCCTTCTCACTCTAGTTCTGAGTATGCCATTGGGGATGGATGCACATGGATCCACCTGACATCCTTGGAGCTGCTTTATTCAAATGCATGTGTTCCTTCCATGTGTTTGTTTCTCTCTCAGAGCGTGGCTTAGAAAGTGGCTTGGTCATGGGGCAAGATACTGACAAACCAACAAATGAGGAGATATTGGCCTGAAGCTTTTGTGTTCAAACGTTTCTATTACTGTGTTTAAGGTTACATTCTTGCCGAGATGTCCTACCAGCAAAAGCAGCAGCAGTGTCAGCCCCCGCCCAAATGCCCCTCACCCAAGTGTCTCCCAAAGAGCCCAGCACAGTGTCTGCCTCCAGCCTCCTCCAACTGTGCTCCAAGCCACAGGGGCTGTGGCCCCAGCTCTGAGGGCGGCTGCTGCCTGAGCCACCACAGGCCCCGCAGGTCCCACCGGTGCCGGCTCCTGAGCTCCGACTCCTGTGATGGGGGCAGTGGTCAGCAAGGAGAGGACTCCGGCTGCAGCCACAGCTCTGGGGGTTGCTGCTGACCTGGATCCTGATTCAAAGCTAAGCAATTTTGGAGGAAACCGGCATCTCAAGGGTCAAGAAAAATCCTGTCCTGATGCATTCTTGCCCAGATACCTTGTTCTGGCTTTCACGGGCTGAGCTAGGGGGTTCCTGTGGAGGGTCTGAGCCCACACTGGGAGGAACTTCCTGTCTGGTGTCCAGATCACACAGTTCCCCCAACCCTTGCACCTGTCAAGGACTAGCCGCACCTGTGCCTGAACCTGTCAAAAAATAAAGCTTCTTGTTCTTATCATCTCTGATGTCTCACTTGTCATTTTGCTCTCTCTCTCCCAGGTGGGGCTGAATATGGTTCCCTCCCCTCCTCTCCTGAAATCCAGCACCCCTATACAGAGTGTAAAGAATCCTAGCTCTAGACTTGAACAAAATTGGAGGTCTGTCGGGTCTTTTTATGCTGGAATTGTGAGGCAGCATGAGATTGGATTGAGGCCTCTAACTAAAAGAATGGCTTATCCTAGGAAAGATGTGGTGGACATTTACCTCCCAGACTCTTGAAACTGCTACTGACAGCTACTATCTGCTTTTGTTGAACTTCTGACATCCCACTCAATAAACTGTGAATGTATAGTAGACTATTATTTTAAAATAGATGGAATAAGCCATTCTTTTCTACTGGAAGGAATTTGACTCTTCAAGGGACATATGGAAAGACCATGAAGCTTTTAGGTGATCAAAACATTGGGGTAGAAAGAGTGCCTAAACATCCTATTAAGCACAGAACATCCTCCAAAATGGAGAATTGCCCAAAAGGACAATTGTGCTAAGGCTGGAAAACCTCAGGTTAAAATAAAAAATGTAAGTAAACATGGCCTCAGAAGGACAAATAACTTTATATGAGCAAAAAATCCCAGACAGAGAGGGAAGGACATTGAGAATTAAACATATTGACTTTGCTGGTGGCAGAAAAGCTTATGTAGCAACATTTTACTTTCATACTGAGGCAGAAATGAAGTAAGAACAAGGATGAATTGCTGTTGGAAACAGGGAAAATGTTGCCCTTTCTCACTCTCTCCAAAGTCATAGTGGGGGAAAAATATTTGCACCAGTGATGTGAAGGTGTTCTCATTTTTCTCCTTGTTATACCTGATTTCAAAGTGAGTGGCCACCACGATAGGTTTTCCTGTTGTGAAATAAACAGACACATTTACTGTACTCATAATATTATATCAAAAACTGCTTTTAGTTAAATGTGTCATACAAAAGATTTATCTTATTCTTAAGTGTGATTATGTTTCAGAAGAAAATGCATCTTTAGTGTTATGGCAAAAGACAATAGGAAAGTTTTACACAGTTGATTAGTTTTTTAATTTTTAAAAAATTTTGAATTTAAGTAGTACACATGCAGATTTGTTACATAGGTAAATTGCATGTTGTTGAGATTTGGGTTTTTATTAAACCCATCACCCAAATAGTGAACATGGTACCCAGTAGGTACTTTTTCAGCCCTCACCCTCTGTCTACCTCCACCCCTTGAGAGTCCCCAGTGTCTGTTGCTACCATATTTATGAGCCTGCGTATCCAGTGTTTAGCTTTGGCTTTCACCTATAAGTGGGAACATGTGGTATTTGGTATTCTGTTTCTGAGTAAATTTGCTCAGAATAATGACCTCCAGTTGCATCTATGTTGCTGCAAAATGCATGTTTTAATACCTTTTTATGACTGTGTAATATTGCCTGGTGTATATGTACCACATTTTCTTTATCCAACCCACCACTGATAAGCATCTAGGTTGGTTCCATGATGCTGCTATTTACACAGTTAATTTAAATAAAACTTCTACAGGCATTAGTAACTCACATCAGTTGCATTATGTCAGTTGTACATAGTCACACTATCACATCTATCTATTATCATTCACCTTCTATCAATTATAATTCACCTTTCAACTACATTCCCCTGGCTATTCCAGCATAGATGAATCATATTCTCTGACCTATGTTTGAAACTCAGAAACATACAGAGTGAGTGACTGACTGACACATGGCTCATTAAATGTAGGGTAGTTTCTTATCTCCCCCTTTAATTTCAACGCCAGTGTCTGTGGTCCATTGTGCTTCCATTACATTGTATCTTTTTCTATGCCCAAACTCCTTTACCTTCAGACAGCTATCACCCGAAGAAATAAGGAAGCACAGCCAGGAATATGTGAATCCCCAAGCAGTGTTCTTAATAAACATATTATTCTGGTCCCTTCTATCCACCACTTGTGTTCTCTGACATTAACTTTGCCCATTCTCCTGCCCTCTGCAGGGATAGTCCATTCTTCCTGGGTTTCATGACTTTCTCTGTGTTCCCCCAGGACCAGCTCCCCCTGTGAAGTCGGGCTCCTCATGCTATTGTTCCTGCTGCATGCCCATTGGCAGTTCTTGCAGACCACTGACCTCACCTCAACCACTCCCAAGTGATACCAAATGACAACATCTGGACACATCAAAGCAACAGGAGACTGATACTCCAGAGCTCTTGCCTAAGCCTGAGGACTCCCCATGTGTTTATTGCTACTCATCATCTTGGGTCATAGTTATCTAACTACCTGTCTGCCCCATTACACAGCAAGTTACTCCACCAAGACCGTACCTCATTTATTTATGAGTAAATGCTTCTATCATCTAGTGCATTGTATATCTATCATCATGCCTGGTGTATACTATTAACTTTTAAAAAAAAAAATAAAGGAAAATAAAGAAGAAATTTAAAAAGAGAAAGAGAACAAAGGAAGAAGTAAGAGAGGAAAGAAAACAAGCCCACAACAAGCTTAAGAAATAGGTATTTGAACAGTCTTAGGGGGCATCCCAGAGCTCTTTTTTTAGAAAAACTTACTCTCTCTTTTCCCTTTCCCTCCCCACCACCAGGAATCTGCAGCCTATAAATCAGTAATACAGCACCTGGTGACAAGGTTCTGTACAGAATTTTTATGGGCCAGAACACCCTATAACAGCTGCCTCTTTCCCCAAGGTATTCATACAGATACTCTCTGAACACCAAGCATCTGGCAAAGGCCCCTGGGTTCCTGATTCTGTCACAGACAGGTGAGAAACTAGAGGTGAGATTTTTAGGAGATTATGGCAGGAATGAGATTAAAGAAGCCAGCCAGTTCCTGACTGGCCAAAAACTGGTACTGTCCCCAAAGAAATTTCTGCTTGTTCTGTGGGCAACAGATACGTAAGCATATAAGTAATCTCCTTCCCCAACCTCCAATGTTTTCTCTTCAACCTCCCTGATCTGATCTCAAGTGTGGCTGTGTCAGAATTACTTGGGGAGATATCAAAACCCTGATGTACAGGCTACATTTAGGCAAAGTCAAACTGATGCCCAGGCTACATTTAGGCAAAGTTTTGGGAGATGAAGCTCAGAGTGTAGTAATTTTATAAACTTTTCCAGACGATGCCAATGTGCAGCCAAAGCTGAGTACCCCTGATGGAGAGGGTTCTCTGTTCTCTCCAGAAATTTCAACCTCTCTGATCTCCTAGTGCAGGTCTTCTGGCTATCTACCATCACCCCCAGCTCCCACTTCCTGCATATGACTCTGTGAAATAATAAAACTTTCTTCAACTCCATATGCCTGCCCCACACATCTCTTGACAACCCAAATTCTCCTGCATGTTTGGTGATCTGGGCCCTTCCTCAGCATTCCAGGTCCACCATGACTTGCACTGAGAGTTGAAGCCCAGCTCAAGGGTAAGAAAAGAAAAGAGATTACATTACAGACCACCTACATGGCTCACAGAAGTTGAAGTGTTTGAGGGTGACATGGGGTTTGGAGACAAAACTTTCCAGTGCTTACATCTGAAGGCTTTCACATTTTTTAGCCATAAAACTCTGGTTTTATAGAGTGAGGATTAATTCATTTTCTAGAATGCTGTTCTAAATGCAGTTTAAGAAATATTATATAATTTTTACAATTGTATATTGATTTATTTATTGACTAATGGTGGAAGGGGAGGAGGTACCAAGAGAGATCCTTGGTATGAAAGTTTCCCAAAGGCCTTTTATAACGTTTATTGAGAAGTCAGTACTCAATGGGATATAAATAAGAAATTTTCTCCCCCCAGTCTTTGTCTTCTACTATGCTGCACTGACTCTCCTTTGATAATATCTCAAGTGTGTTCCAGAACTCTTTAATCATTTTGAGGGATTCAAGGATTATCTCCAGTTGTCTAGATGAATATGTTCAGTATAAAGACCTTAGCTCCTATCCCTTCATCCAGCAAAGTCTGACCCTCTCCTAAAGGACTGTGTGGGAAACAGATATGGTGAACTCTGCCACTCATTTCCACCTCCTCCTCTCCCCTGTGAGTTGCCTCTCTCCTCTTCTGTTTGGGTGCTGGGATGAGGAAAAGAGGAAGGAGGCAAACATCTCGTAATTGACTAGTACAGCATATGTCTCTTGATGACTTCATTCTCTCTGTGCAGAAGGATGAAGGCAAATGACTGATTTCTTCAAGGAGTTTTGCAAAAGATGTCCTCAAGGCACAGTGACATGACATGAAAAATTTGACCTATTCACATATCTTCAGTCCCATTGTTACAAGCCACAGGGTTCTCCACCTTGCCAACCACAGTCCCAACAGGACCATGTCAGTACAGTTCATGCCTAGCTGTCCTTCAAACTATCCACACGTCTCTGAAAAACGCATAATTTCTGGTCATGTCAAATACTAAGGGTCTGGCTGCTTCTCCTTCCCCCATTCTCCTTCCTGTTTTCTCTTTCCAATTCCTTTTCTGTGCTCTTGAATAACCATGGAGAACTGTCAGTAAATCTACTGATGAAACTGAGACATGAAATGTTAGTCTCCCTGCTTTTTAGGCATCTTTAAATTCTGTAGTTTGTCCCCTTGGAACTCCTATCACTTTTATGTTAGTGGAGGGTGGCAGGAATATTCTGATTTTCTCCCCCATTTGAAAGGCAAGGGAAAATCTACAACATTCTATCCTGCTTTGGAAGCTTTTCGTCACTTTTATT